CACTCTTTCTAGTAATAGAAGGATATAAAATAATTAAATTTTTTTTGCAATGCATAAAATAAATACTAAATTTTAACATATATTATATTTTAGATTTATAATTTATAATTTATATTGTGATATAAAAATATTTTTAGTGGTTGAAATTTATTTTTTGAAATATATACTAAAATTTAATTTAGAAATAAAATCAAAAAGATAAATTGAAAGAGATAAATTTCACCAAAAGGTTCTTTAAAATTGTTCTCATTAGAAAAAAAAAAATCTTTTCCAACGCTCCTAATTAAGATAATTACCTGTGTAATAACTTGTTTCTTATATGAGTGTTGAGTTTACAATGAGGATGGAGGTCATAATCATAATGAGTTCATTATTAATATTACTTTTTGTGATGGTGTTCGTTAGCATTGTTGTTATTTTTAGTGTTGTTATTATCACCACAACAATTATTATTATCATCATCATTGTTATTCATACTATTATTACCATTAATAACACTACCACCACTATAATTATTACCTTATTAGATATAAATAAGGTCTCATATAATTAAAAACAATAAGAGAAATATTAGTTTAGTAAACATACAAATACTCCATTTGTTTTTTCGAGTAATGACCAAAAATAAAATCATGAAGATATAAATTCAAAGTAGACAAAATCAAAACAAATGTGATGTTGTATACAAATAACCGATAAAAAAATAACAAAATATAATAACTTTTCTCTTAATAAATATATTACTCTCAAACAAAATACTATAACATAGTTACACCGACAATATCACTATCATAGTTATCATAATCATTATTATCATCATCATTGTCACAACTAGGACTACCACTACCTTCTTTATCCACAATAATTGATATGAGAACAATAACAATAATCAAAATAATGAGATTTATATTTTAAAATAAATTTTTAATCTAACTTGATCACTTTTATCTAAAAATTGATATCGATTATTTTCATTGTAAGAAGCCATATTTCTTTCTCTCCATCCTTTTCTATAAATATATTAAAACATTTTAATTTAATTACTAGAATACAATATAAATTATTAGTTATAAAATAAAATAAATATATTAAAATTTATTCTTAAAATAAGTTATTTTTTGATTATAACCAATCATCGATAAAGAGAAGAAAAAGAAAACTATCTTCACACCATACACCTATAAAAAAGAATTCTAATGACCCCTAAGAAAACAAACTTGTTGAGCCAAATTGAGCATGAGAAATAGCTAAGTAGCTAACCTTTGACAGCTCTGTCTGTTAGTAACAAAATTATTGGACATATGATGATTGGGTCCCATTAATGAGACATTTTGACCAGCCACTTTACCAAGTAAAGAACAAAAACTGTGATTTAGTTTCAGCTTTCATGTGTGGCATTCTTGAAATTAAGTCCAACATGGAGGGCAATCACCCTCACTTGTCACACTCTCATCTGCTTCTTCCTTTATTAGCTGCCCAACCTCAACCTGAAACTAAAGCTTCTAACTTTGTCTCTCTTTTCTTCTTTTATATACTTTGTTTCCTTCCTCCTTCTGTTTTGACCGTTGCTTTTTCTCTGTTCACACACACACATTTCTCTCTCACTGATTCCTTCTCCACTTTCATCATCCAAACGCTGTCGTTTCCCTTCACCTCCTTGGTGTCTGGTGCTCTTCTCCCTTCCATCATTCTTCATAACTAAACTCATCGCTAATGTGTGTTTCTCGCTTTTTTTTTTCTTTGTCCTAATGCTTCTTCTCTCTTTGTTTGGCTCTTAGAAGCAAGAAACTGAAAAAGGGTGTCATGGAAAACTTTGTCTTCCTTAAAATGGGTACTCTGGTTTTATGTTTATCAGCTTTTTTTATGCTTTTTTTTATTATCTGTTTTTACCTTTTTTTATTCTTTTTTAATTTATTGCTCTATGGATTTTATAATTTTTTATATATATATTTTACATTTATTCCTCTGTTAATTAAGCTAATTGGAGTCTGCTATAGTGTCTGCCTTTTGTTTTTACTTTTTTTTTTTTTTTCATTTGGAAGATGGTTTTCGTCGGGGGTTAAGCTGTTTTTTTTTTTTCTTTTTTAATCTCTACATTTGGGAAGAAAAAAAAAACAACCCAGATGCAAAGTTGTGTGCTTTCTTCTTGTATTATGATGTAGAGCATTGTTTGGTTTTGTGGAAATCATAGAGGAAAGGGTTTGAAAAATCTGTTAAGCATGTCTGTATTTTCGTCACCCTTCTTCTGGCTAGGAAATGAAGAAAAGCAACCAAGATTATTTGCTTCAAATATAATACTATTTTTTATATTAGTTTTGGTGGTTTAGTCATGTTTGATGGAATTTTGTGAGTGTTATTGAACTTCTCTATTTTTTGGTGACAGATTTATGATTTCTTTATGAATCTGGTGTGGCATAGAGAAAAGTTCTCTTTAAGTCTCCATTTCAATGCAAGCTTGAGGCGTTCATTCATAGGGGGCTAAGAAGAGATGGGATGTTCACATTCAAAGTTGGATGATGAAGAGTCAGTTCGGCTTTGTAAAGACAGAAAGAAGTTCATCAAGCAAGCTGTTGAACAAAGGACTCGATTTGCCACAGGACACATAGCATACATAGAATCACTGAAAAGGGTTTCAGCAGCACTTCGTGATTACATTGAAGGCGATGAGCCTCGTGAGTTCTCATTAGATACGGTCATCACACCACCTTTCACACCTGTGAAGAAGAAAACTGGCCCAGGATTTATTCCCATATCAGCAAAGCCCTTCACAACAGCAACAGCAATTGAGTTCGGGGTTGGACCAAACTCTACTTTGAAAGTGAATTACCTTAGGCCTGGTGGTAACCCTGCAATTTCAGTTGAGGAAAGGCCTCAATCCCCCGAAAGGGTTCGGGTTGAGACGTATTATTCTCCAATGCAGCAGTATCAGCAGTATGGCATTGATGGTTTTTTCAACATGCAATCCTCACCAGTGAATCCCTCAATTTTTGCTTACTCTCCCAATGATAGGCCTAATATCCCTCCCCCTTCACCTCAAGCTTCCCAATGGGACTTCTTTTGGAACCCCTTTTCATCATTGGATAGTTATGGTTATCCTGCAAGAAGTAGCCTTGATCAGACTGCTATGGATTATGAATACAGGGGACTTAGGCAGGTTAGAGAAGAAGAGGGAATACCAGACCTGGAAGAAGATGAAACTGAACAAGAAGATTGTGTTGGGAAGAGAAATGAAGCAGAAAAAAGAACTAGACATGATATAAATTCTTCCAAAGAAGAAGTTATTGTTGAAGATGTTGATGACGAGGACGAGGACGAGGATGAGGATGAGGATGAGGACGAGGAGGATGAGGACGAAGAAGAGGAGGGAACAGACATTGAAGATGAAACTGAAACTGAGCATGATGCCAAAGGTTCACAAGCTCATGGTGGTGCAAGTTTTGAAGTGTCAAAATCTCAAGCTGCAGGTCATATTGAATCAAGCCACAGGGAAATGGCAATTGGTAAGAAGGAATCTGGGGAAGAAACACCAGGTTTTACTGTTTATGTAAACCGAAGGCCAACAAGCATGGCAGAAGTGATTAATGATCTTGAAACTCAATTCACAATCGTCTGCAATGCAGCCAATGAAGTCTCAGCACTATTAGAGGCCAAGAAATCTCAGTATTTATCGACATCTAATGAACTTTCAGGTTCGATGGAAACAAACAATTTATATTTTCATTTTGTTGTTAGTGTATTTTCATGTTCATGCTTTCCATATTAGTCAGAACTATGAATAAAGTCCTTAGGAATGGATAGAACCAAGAGCAGCCTGAAGTTGGATAATAAACTTCATTGTTAAAAATCTTATTTGTGTAACAAATCCCACTATGATAATGTGCAAATTATATATCCAGAAATCATCTTTCATGTTTCCTATTCCCCATTTGATTCTAGTGATATTTTTCCTTTCAGTCTTATCTATCTGTAAATTTTTAGGAACATAAATTTGAGTTGTAATTTATTTGCAGCATCAAAGTTGTTGAACCCAGTAGCTTTGATCCGCTCTGCTTCTTCACGCTCTTCTTCATCAAGATTTTTAGTTAATTGTTCAAGCACTAGCAAGGAAGGTTGTGAAGGAACTAAAGGTCTCTCAGAGGAACATTGTATGTTATCTGGTAGTCACCACTCCACTTTAGACAGATTAAATGCATGGGAGAAGAAGCTATATGAGGAAGTCAGGGTATATTACTGAACTTATCTTACATCCAAGAGGAAGTCAAATTTCTAAAAACAAGATTTCAATGAGGTTCTCTCTGGCGACATTCATAGAAACAGATAATTCTACTTAAAATAAATAGCCAAAAAGAAGCTGCTACTTATGCTTCCTCAATTATCTAAGACTTAATGTAGAAAATCCTTCAGATTCTGATATTCTTACTCTTGACGGATGGACAAAATCAATGAATCACTCATGTTATGAATTCATCAATGGCAAATGCACTTTTTAGTTCCTATGGTTATTACTGGAAATCGAAAATTAAATAACTTATCATGGTAATTGAGCACTAGTAATCATGAAAGAGTTTCACCTTCTACATAATGTGTAGAAACACTATGCCTCTAACAAATGAGCATAAACCTTTCTGTTATATGTTTAACAGAATTAGGAAAAAGTGATAGCAGAGATCAGCTTCAACCATTTAAATTATATTCAGTTATTTTTCTTTTGGTACTTTTTAAAAAATTATATTTATTATTGTTACAGGTCATTATGCTTGATATCACATACAGTTTTATTTTAATGTTGGGAAACTTATTAATTATTGTGGCCACTTTCTTCTGCAACAGTCTGGAGAACGTATCAGAATTGCGTATGAGAAGAAATTGAAGCAACTCAGGAACCTTGATATAAAAGGAGAGGACCCCTCTTGTGCAGATAGAACAAGAGCAGCCATTAGAGATCTAGATACCCAGATTACAGTTTCAATACACTCGGTTGAAGCTATTTCAAGGAGAATCGAAACTCTAAGGGATGAAGAGTTGCATCCCCAACTTCTTGAATTGGTGCAAGGGTATGTATAAAAGTCAAATAGCCCCTTACACCTTTGTTTTTTTATATGAACTAATTCCCTTCTGCCAAAACTTTAAGTATTTTCAGACTTCAAACATACTGCTAATGTTTTCATTTGGTCCTTTAAGAAAGATAGGACCACTAGACTGACTTCGATACTACTAACAATTTCAGATAAAGAGTTCGTTTAGATTAAAGCTAGAATTACTTTGAGAGCTACTCTATTGGAAATAAAGAAAAACTCTAAAAAACACTTCTAAACTTGCATCTAAAGAGTTCAAAGTCATTATGAATGACTTATATTTGTTGAATTGCCCAAATGTTTCATTACCTCAAGTAATATTTAGAGTCTATTTAGATACAAATTAAAATTATTTTTAAGGACTTGTAAAACTCTTTAGTTTTGGGAGAAAAACTTCCAGAAACTCTTAAGCTTGTATATAAACAAGTTTAGTATTAGAATTTTCCTGTCACTCAATGCCATCAACTTGCTGAGCAAACCCCGAGTTTAACCATCAAATTTACGTAACATCTACTTAACCTTGTCCAGGTTTCTAGGACCTCCATAATATTTGACATGTATTAATTCTTGGTTTTACTTTCCATATGAGCGACACTGTATGTTTATTAAAGAAAACAGCCTACATCTGCCTTATGAAATGCAGATATATCACACTGGCATTGCATGTAGATAGTTACATAAAATATTATGCTTGCTTATTCTTCAATTATACAAATGACAGGCTGGAAAAGATGTGGAAAGTGATGGCAGAATGCCATCAGACACAGAAGAGAACCTTAGATGAAGCTAAGATTCTTCTAGCTGGCACTCCTTCTAAATCACATTCCAGAAAACAGTCTTCCATGTCAATGACTGATCCAAGCAGGCTGGCGCGTTCAGCCTCGAATCTTGAATTCGAGTTAAGGAACTGGAGAAACACCTTCGAGTCATGGATCACTTCTCAAAGATCCTACATTCAGGCCTTAACAGGATGGCTTCTTCGATGCATGAGATCCGAACCTGACGTGTCAAAGTTACCAGGCTCTCCTCACCGGTCCAGTGGCACTCACCCTTTGTTTGGACTCTGCATTCAGTGGTCGAGGCGCCTAGATGCCATACATGAAAAGGCAGTGCTTGAAGGCCTAGACTTTTTTGCAGCTGGGATGGGGTCCCTCTATGCACATCAGTTAAGAGAAGATTCAAGGAGAAACTCATATGGATCAAAACAAAGCAATGGCATGGAAATGGTGGAAGTTGGTGAGGTGGAAGAGGTAATGGCTCCAGAGAAGCTGGCTGAAGTGGCTATTAAGGTGCTTTGTGCTGGAATGTCTGTTGCTATTAGCTCACTGGCTGAGTTTGCTTTGGATTCTGCTGACGGGTACAATGAAGTTGTTAAGCAATGGAACAATGTGAAGTGTCAAAATACTACTTCTAGTGAGACAAGAACATAGTGTCTTACATTTTGTGTTACTTAGTTTAGGCTTGTTTAACAATGGGTGTGTCTGAGAATGTAATTATGTATTTAACTAACCAATACAAAAGGTAGAATAGCAAGGGCAATTGCACCCAATATTGATAAAATGGATTTTCTTTTTTTACTTTTTATGTCAATAGATCCCTCGGTTTCTAAAATCCATTTTGGATCATAAATATAATTAGTACTTTTTCAGGAAAAAAAAAATAATTCAAACCCCCATAAACTTTGTCCATTTTAAATTGGTGTTCAAAACTTCATAATTTTGTCCCAATTGTTATTAAACTTTATTACTCTTTGGATTTTGTAATTAGACACTTTGATACCATTGGAGAAGTTGCGCTTCGATGTTCATGATGCTTAGGGGTGGGATTTAAGGTGAAGCCAGCCACCATCAATGGCTATGGTGATTTACATGAGTAACATATGTTGAAAATCAGATTTAACAAAAAAAAGACTTGTTTTCAATATATATATATATAGAGAGAGAGAAGGAGGGTTATAATAATACCGGTGTAACTTTTATTAAGTATTACACCGCTCAATAACTTTATATTAAATGTGAATTTTGTAAATTTAACTGTTAGATTGAAAGTTCTTTACTTTTAGATTATTTAATATAAAACTATTAAGCAGTGTAATATTTTGTAACTTATTTGAGGATCGGAGTTTTTTAGATGAACCTTTATCATTATCAATGACAAGGTCCTCTCATCAATGACCATGCTTACATCATTGAATCATTAGAAAGGTTGTCTAAGGATGAAGCTACTAAAGCTAAAGCTTTAAACTCACTAACAAACAAAAAAAATATTTGCTACACCAATATCCATAAGAACACCTCAACATTTTTTAGTCGTTACTCTCCTAGAAGGAAGCTAAGACAATAACACTGTAGAGCGTTTCCTTTGTCCCTCATGAAGACATCCTTATGTGAGTCTCTTTTTTAGTTTCATCCTCTCACATACTGTGATAGCACATCTCCCTAAGGTAGTTTCAAGCTCTTACTTTTCTAAGTTTATGGTCCCAAGTTAACTCACCACCTATGTGTTTAAGAAGGGAACTAAAGAGCTAACAATTCATTGTATATTACAATGATGGTTAGATATTAGTTAAATCTATTTGGATTAGATCAATAATTAGTTACTCACTAAACATGAGTGTTAAAAATATATCAATACCTTTCACGAATAATACAAGTTATTTGCTCAAATATTCGATTTCCCCTCTTTCTCTTTCTCTCTCTCAACTCATAAAATGGCTCAATAGCTTTAAAGTGCTTAAGTTCATTCTAAACACTCAAGATTTAACTAATATAGGTAATAAAGGCATACCTAACACTCTCACTCTCAAGATGGGTTAGACTACTTGACATAGGACCCGGGACCATTACAAAAAGGAAGTTTTTATCTATTATGGAGTAAAACGCTATCAATTCACTTCAAGTCAAGGTGTACTATATTATACACAATTGAATTGAAGTGGTTTTGCACTTGGATTGTGTTTTGGTTGGCTTAGGTCAACATGTCCACCATCAACTTGGGTTGACCGTTGTTTTTGAACCGAGATGATCTATCTGAGTAGATTGGGCCCCAAGTCCAATTCATCACATTAAAGGTTATTGACAAATTAAAACATAAGAATTAATTTTATAAAAATAAAAATAAATAAATAAAAGGCTAAATAATACATGTCAAGGATCACTACTTTTAGTCGAATAGGAAATAATATGCACAAAATTAAATGTTTTAATAAAACAAATATTTTACAAAAATAAAAGTTAATTATTTCAATTTTTAGAAAGGTAAAAAACTGAGAAAAAAACTTAAGAATCAAAATTCATTTATTTTACACAGTAAAAACATTTAATTTTTTTTATCATGACTTCACCTTTAGATCTTATATAGCTCACCAAATTATGCAACCATCTTCCATAGAAGTTTTATCAAAACTCTACAATTCCCCCATTTGCACAAGATAATACTCCGTCTTATGATAAGCAACATCTAAGTTTTTTTTTTATGGACCAAAAAAAACTAATAAATAAATGAAAGAGAATAGTTATCTTATAAAAATAAACCTAATTATTAACCTCTTTTACTAGAAATAATACAACATAACTTTTTTAAAATATTATTCAAAATATAAATGAAAATAAATAATTAATATTACATTGGAAACAAAAATAATTTATTTTAATACTTTTTTTTCTTGTAAGACTTATTATAGGACGGATGAAATAGTAAAAAGTTACTCCCAAAATTTACATGTACAGACCCACAGATCCTCTCAAATCATGGTTCATTCCCACAAAGTTGATTGATCATAGTGGGACTCTTTTAAAAATATTTTACGCAAATGAAATTACTTTGTAACTAATTACACCTTTGGGGCTATTTACAACGGTATCGCTATGGACCATAGCGACACCTATGACACGTGGCATTTTTTGAACTCCAGGAAAGTCATGAAAGCAATATTGATAATGTCGCTACAGCCTAGGACGACACAAAACGGCTTCACTGAAGCCGCTATAGCCTACAACGCCACATTTTTAATATAAATTTTTTTTAAAAAAAAAATATAAGTAAATAGTTTTAAAAATAAACAAATTTGTAAAAGTGGCGTTATGGCCTATAGCGACATTGTGTCGCTATAGGCCATAGCGTCACCTATTTAAAAATTAAAATACATAAAAAGAAAAAAAAAATATATAATAAAAAATACAGAAAAGATAAATATATAAATATAGATTTATATGAAATTCATAAAATAAACTAAAATGTGAAAAAAAGAAATTCAGTAAATAATTAAAAGTGGCACTAGGACCTATAACGACACAACATCGCTATAGGTCATAGCGTCACTTATTTAAAAATTAAAATACATAATAAGAATAAAAAATATATATAACATAAAGAAAAATAGTAAAGATAAATATTTAAATATAGATTTATATAAAATTCATAAAATAAATTAAAATGTGGGAAAAAAATTAAGTAAATAATTTAAAAGAAAAAAAACGTAAAAAGTAGTGGCGCTATTGCCTATAGTGACACAAAGTCGCTATAGGACAATGTGTCGCTATAACCCATAGCGACACTGGTGGTGGTTGAAAAAAATTAATGACGCTAGCCACGTGTCAATTTACCGCGGATTTATCCAATGGTAGCTTGACACGTGACGTTTGACAGTAAAAAAAAAATTACCCCTCTATATAAGGGATTTTAACCTGAATATGTTGGTCCCCCATTGTCTCCCCCGCGGAACTAAGAGGTATGCGTTTTCCTTTTATTTTTCTGTCTTTAATTTAATTATTATTTATTTTGTTATTTTTAAATTTTATGTAAGTTTTATATATTTTAATTATTATTTCAGGTTATTTTTGTTTTTTTGGGATATCCGCAGAGGTATTTTCTGTTTTAGGTATTTTTTTAGTCTCTGTAATTTAATTAGTTATATTTATTTTTTTAGTTTTTGTAATTTATATAATTTTTTTTCTGTAATTATTATAAAGTTGCTATAGGCTATATCATCTTAAATAAATTATGTAAAAACTGATTTTATTTAAATTTTAGATTTTATAATTTGATTCTGTGTAATTATTTAGTTATAAGTATATTTTTTTTATAATGATTGTGAAGTCGTTATAGCCTATACCATTTTAAATAATTTATTGAAAAAATTAGTTTTCCAATTTTTTTAAATTTATATATATATTTTAAATTGTATGTAACAATATATTTTAATTGTTTCAGGTTGTTGGTGTTTTTTCCGGGATATATTCATTTTCATACGAGGTATTTTGTGTTTTAGATTTTTTTAATTTTTTTATTTTTTGCAATTTATTTATTTATATTTATATATTTATTTTTTTGTGTAATTAATGTGAAGTCGCTATATGCTATATCATTTTAAGTAATTTATTTAAAAAATGATTTTATTTAATTTAAGATTTTATAATTTGATTATCTGCAATTATTTAATTATAAGTCTATTTTTTTCTGTAATGATTGTGAAGTCGCTATAGCCTATACCATTTTAAAAAAATTATTTAAAAATGAATTTTATTTAAAATTTAAATTGATTTAATTTAATTCTGTGTAATTTATTTAGTTATATTTATATAATATTTTTAAATTTCTATAATGATTTTAAACTCATTATAAATTAATTTAACAAATAATTGTATTTAAATTATAAAATTAAAAAATTGATTATTTGTAATTTAGTTATATTTAAATTTTTTATTACGTTTGTTAGTGTTATATTAGATATTAAAAAATGGTAATAAGTATTATGAAAATAAATTATATAATTTTTCCAAATTAAATTTAATTAATTAAAATCATTTATAAAATAATTGGTAATAAATATGGTGTGGGCTATATCATGTTAAATAATTAATTTCAGAAATAATTGTATTTAACTTCTAAATTTATTAATTTCAATCTGTAATTTATTTATATTTATAATTTCTTTTAATGTTGTTAGTGTTATATTACAAATTTTTATATTAGTTTATTTATATTTTATATAATGTTTGAAAATTTGTGTTATCATAATAATTAAATGATAAATATTAATATTTTATAACGGTTTTAAATTAGTGTTAAAAAAATTATATTTCCTAAAAAAATGGAAAATATTTATATTTTAGTTTATTATGTTGTTAAAATTAATTATGAAATAATGTGTTGTTATATTTTGTTATAGATAGCATCATCTTCTACAGCTATGCGTGTGACATGTGGATCCATTGAGGATGATTTATTGACATTGCAAAATATACATGTTTGGAATAGAGAAAATGATAGGAGATTAATAACACGACGTGCTGCTCTAACGCACACTGGAATTGAGGGAGTTCCACATCAAATAGTTCCGTTATTAGAGCAAGCAAGATTTGGATGGATTGCTCGTTTGAGTTATATCAAAGTTAGTCTTGGTTTGTTAACTGCTTTGGTAGAACGATGGAGACCAGAAACACACACATTTCACATGCCATTCGGAGAATGCACAATTACTCTTCAAGATGTTGGTATGCTTGTTGGTCTTCCAGTTGATGGTGAACCAGTGTTAACTCGAGGCAGTGCTAATATATTGGGATTAGGTACTAAAATAACTTTACTTTAAGTTAATTTTTTTTTTTTATTAATTGTTTTTTATAATATTAATAATCGATAAATAATTTGTTTTATTTTATGCAGCTCATGATTTTTTAGGGGTTGTTCCACCTCAGTCAGAAATTAAAGGACATCGCGTTAAGTTATCTTGGTTGGCAACAAACTTTAATGACATTGCAGATGACATAAATGATCTACATCAGTTGCTTCCTTATGCTAGAGCTTGGATACTACGTTTTCTAGGAGGACTTCTTGTTCTTTATAGATCTTCAAGCTATGTCTCATTAAGGTGGTTGGCGTTTTTAGGTGACTTTCAAAACTATTAAGACATATGCATGGGTGCAGCTGTGCTTGGATGTTTGTATCAAAATTTATGCACCTCTATTGATTATAAAATGCCAAGTTGTGGTGGGTTTACACTTTTATAACAGTTATGGGCATGGGAACGATTCCCAAGCATTCTCTCTAGGTGGGAATGGTGAAGAGAAAATGCTTGGGAATCGTTCTCATGCCCATAACTGCAATAAAAGTGTAAACTCACCACAACTTGGCATTTTGTAATCAGTAGAGGTGCATAAATTACGATACAAACATCCAAGTACAGCTGCACCCCATGCATATGTCTTAATAGTTTGAAAGTCACCTAAAAACGCCAACCACCTTAATGAGACATAGCTTGAAGATCTATCAGGAACAAGAAGTCCTCCTAGAAAACGTAGTATTCAAGCTCTAGCATAAGGAAGCAATTGATGTAGATCATTTATGTCATCTGCAATGTCATTAAAGTTTGTTGCCAACCAAGATAACTTAATGCGATGTCCTTTAATTTCTGACTGAGGTGGAACAACCCCTAAAAAATCATGAGCTACATAAAATAAAACAAATTATTTATCGATTATTAATATTATAAAAAACAATTAGTAAAACAAAAAAAATAACTTAAAGTAAAGTTATTTTAGTACCTAATCCCAATATATTAGTACTGCCTCGAGTTAACACTGGTTCACCATCAATTGGAAGACCAACAAGCATACTAACATCTTGAATAGTAATTGTGCATTCTCCGAATGGCATGTGAAATGTGTGTTTCTGGTCTCCATCGTTCTACCAAAGCAGTTAACAAACCAAGACTAACTTTGATATAACTCAAATGAGCAATCCATCCAAATCCAGCTTGCTCTAATAACAAAACTATTTGATGTGGAACTCCCTCAATTTCAGTGCGCGTTGGAACAGCACGTCGTGCTATTAATCTCCTATCATTTTCTCTATTCCAAACATGTTGTGAAACATGTATATTTTGCAATGTCAATAAATCATCCTCAATGGGTCCACATGTCACACGCATAGCTGTAGAAGATGATGTCATCTATAACAAAATATAACAATACATTATTTCATAATTTAAATTAATTTTAACAACAGAATAAACTAAAATATAAATATTTTCCATTTTTTTAGGAAATATAATTTTTTAACACTAATTTAAAACCATTATAAAATATTAATATTTATCATTTAATTATTATGATAACACAAATTTTCAAACATTATATAAAATATAAATAAACTAATATAAAAATTTGTAATATAACACTAACAACATTAAAAGAAATTATAAATATAAATAAATTACAGATTGAAATTAATAAATTTAGAAGTTAAATACAATTATTTCTGAAATTAATTATTTAACATGATATAGCCCACACCATATTTATTACCAATTATTTTATAAATGATTTTAACTAATTAAATTTAACTTGGACAAATTATATAATTTATTTTCATAATACTTATTACCATTTTTTAATATATAATATAACACTAACAAACGTAATAAAAAATTTAAATATAACTAAATTACAAATAATCAATTTTTTAATTTTATAATTTAAATACAATTATTTGTTAAATTAATTTATAACGAGTTTAAAATCATTATAGAAATTTAAAAACATTATATAAATATAACTAAATAAATTACACAGAATTAAATTAAATCAATTTAAATTTTAAACAAAATTCATTTTTAAATAAATTTTTTAAAATGGTATAGGCTATAGCGACTTCTCAATCATTATAAAAAAATAGACTTATAATTAAATAATTGCAGATAATTAAATTATAAAATCTTAAATTTAAATAAAATCATTTTTTAAATAAATTACTTAAAATGATATAGCCTATAGCGACTTTACATTAATTACACAAAAAAATAATTATATAAATATAAATAAATAAATTGTAGAAAATGAAAAAAAATTAAAAAATTTAAAACACAAAATACCTCGTATGAAGATAAATCTATCCCGGAAAAAACACTAACTACCTGAAGCAATTAAATTATATTGTTACATACAATTTAAAATATATATATATATAAATTAAAAAAAACTGGAAAACTAGAAAACTAATTTTTTCAATAAATTATTTAAAATGGTATAGGCTATAGCAACTTCACAATCATTACAGAAAAAAATATACTTATAACTAAATAATTACACAAATTATAAAATCTAAAATTTAAATAAAATTAATTTTTACATAATTTATTTAAGATGATATAGCCTATAGCGACTTAATAATAATTACAGAAAAAAAATTATAAATTACAGAAACTAAAAAAATAAATATAACTAATTAAATTACAGAAACTAAAAAAATAGAAAATACCTAAAACAGAAAATACATTTGCGGATATCCCAAAAAAACAGAAATAACCTGAAATAATAATTAAAATATATAAAACTTACATAAAATTTAAAAATAATAAAATAAATAATGATTAAATTAAAGACAGAAAAATAAAAGGAAAACGCATACCTCTCAGTTCCGTGGGGGAGACAATGGGGGACCAGCATATTCAGGTTAAAATCCCTTATATAGAGGGGTAATTTTTTTTTTTTACTGTTAAACGTCACATGTCAAGCTACCATTAGATAAATCCGCGGTAAATTGACACGTGGCTAGCGTCATTAATTTTTTTTCAACCACCACCAGTGTCGCTATGGGCTATAGCGACACATTATCGCTATAAGCCATAGCGCTACTATTTTTTACGTTTTATTTTTTTAAAATTATTAGCTAAATTTATTTTTTATATATTTTATTTTTATATTATGAATTAAATATTAATTTCTATTTATAAACTTATATTTTCTGTAATTTCTTTATTTTATATATTTTTTTAATATTTATGAGAGTGGCACTATGTCGCTATAGGCCATAGCACCACTATTTTTTACGTTTTTTTCTTTTAAATTATTTACTTAATTTTTTTTTCCATATTTTAATTTATTTTATGAATTTCATATAAATCTATATTTAAAAATTTATCTTGTCTATTTTTCTTTATGTTATATATATTTTTTATTCTTTTTATGTATTTTAATTTTTAAATTGGTGGCGCTATGGCCTAAAGCGACATTGTGTCGCTATAGGCCATAGCGCCACTTTTAATTATTTACTGAATTTATTTTTTCCACATTTTAGTTTATTTTATGAATTTCATATAAATCTATATTTATATATTTATCTTTTCTATATTTTCTATTATTTTTTTTTTCTTTTTATGTATTTTAATTTTTAAATAGGTAGCGCTATGGCCTATAGCGCCACTTTTACAAAATTTTTTTTTTTTTAACTATTTACTTATATTTTTAAAAAAAAATCATATTAAAAATGTAGCGCTGTAGGCTATAGTGACTTGAGTGAAGCCGTTTTGTGTCATCCTAGGCTATAGCGACATTATCAATATGGCTTTCATGACTTTCCTGAAGTTCAAAAAATGCCACATGTCATGGGTGTCGCTATGGCCCATAGCGATACTGTTGTAAACAGCCCCAAAAGTCTAATTAGTTACAAAACAACCTCATTTGCGTAAAATGTTTTTAAAAGAGCCCCACTACGGTCAATCAGCCCAGCATTATTACTATCCAGAGATGACACTGTAGAAAAGAACCAAAGCAACCACCTGTGCTACCACAAAATATTTAGCCCTTCTTCTAAAGGTTTTCTCCTCCTTTGTTTGTGGCTTTTTTTTGGGTTTAGTCTTGGGCTTTGAACCTAAGAAAAAAATTTACAAATCAAACTACATTAAGAATGACAGAATATAAGGTCTTAAAATAGCAAATGAAACTGTAGCAAAGCACATAGCAAATAAAACCTTTTTCACATAACTATATAAATAGTAGAACAAAATTCCAAAAATTAAAGAAGCGCCATGAATAGAAAGAAGAGGTGAAAGAATGAACAGTAAAATGTTTGACTATTTTGTATTTCAATATGAACCAAATGAACAAACATAATATATTAACATTCATAGTAAAAGTAAATGGTTCAAAACTTCAAATGTTCAAGTCATAAAACCCATTCCAAAAAACCAAGAATTACCAATTTTTTCATTTTCAGAATTCAGACTACTTACACCCCTACAATATTAAGATCCAAGCTAGATGCATGATATTCATGAAACAAAAAGGTGCACCTCAACCATCAAGAGGTGCTGACCCTTCCAGCATCTCTCGTCAGCACCTTTAGCATGCGTTTAGGCCCATTTGACTAAACTTATATAAACTACTTCATAATGAGCATTCTGACATGAAACCTCACATTTTCCTATGTAACAGAATACAATCATGTTTTCAGATACTATTCTATTTACACAGGACAAAGCTTATAAGGCTTCTCAAAGCATCTAATGCAACTAGTAGGAACATTTATTTTCAGGTTTATGGTGCAACCTTGAGTTTTACTTGCAATCTAATATTTGATGTGCTTACCTAGGACACAAAAAAGATTATCCCTGTGCATACTTATATGCAGATAATATAGTTTTGATTGAGCAATCAAGGAAAGAGGTTATTCTAAACATGAACTTTGAAGACAGACACTGAATTCAAAGGGTTTTCACTTTAGTAAAAGTAAGACAAAAAGTATATGCATTGCAATTTCTGTTCATGTCGCTGACTCAGCAATTTGTTATACTTTTTAGATATAAAAGGTTGCCCTCTCTGTACTTTCCTTCAAATGAAAGATTTACAATTCAGTTTACATTTCTTCTCTATTTATCTGATTCTCTGAATTCTATTACTATGGTAGTGAATGTTGAGCTTTAAAGGTTCAAGAGAAAAAGTGGGAATTACAAAAATAATATGTTAAAATGAATGTGTTGTGTGGTCAAACAAGAAAGGACATAACACATAGCGATTGTATATGAGGAATTGGTGTGGCACTTATCACAGAAAAATTGATAGAAGATCAATACTCATACAAAGGACACTAGAGGCATGAATGAGGAGAGTAGCTTATATGGTTTAGCTTGATAAAAAAAAGGGTAGAGGAAGACCAAGAAGGATATCAGAGGGAATTAAAAGGGACCTCCTGATGAATAATATCCATGAGAATTTGGTTTTTAACTAAGCTGCTCAACAGTATCGTGTGATCCATGTGGCCGACCTCACCTAGTGGAATAAGATTATCATTGTTGATGATGCAAAGCATATGATGATGATCAGAGACCAAGATCACAAGCCTAGAATCATTCAGCATGTTCATAGCCCATTTCATTTATTCCACAAGTATGGCAACCAATTTATCATGAAATTCCACATCAAGAAAAGTTGAAAGAATAACTTTACTCCATGGGTTGTATTAAACTCGTTCCTATAACACAGCAACTGGAAACCTACACATTTCATAACATTTCCGTCCATACCAGGAATATCTCAAAGTAGTTTTAGCCTTATCGCAATGGTACTATCCTATTGCTACAATATCAAGGCAGAGTATTTCAAGCCACTGTTTTTAAATAAAATCATTGCTACAACCAATTCCAAGAGTGAAAGAGTGAGAGAGAGAGAGGAGTTGTGTGGTAGTTATTTAAATAAAAAAGAAAAGGAAAAGAAATATGAACTAATTGCACATGTCAAGGAAATCCATCAAATAAACCCTAAAAATATCTTACTTGAAGTTGAACGACTACTAGAAGCTGATGATGATGGGTCTGCATGCAAATGTGGATCATTGGAAGGAGAAGTACCAGCTTCTATAAGTTCTGTCTTGTGTTGTTGCACATATCTCTCTAAATTGGCATGCTCCAAAAACTTGGACCTCAAAATTGATGATTCCTGGTAGCAGACAAATGCAGGAACAGAAGTTAAAATTTTTGCCTCAAAATAATAATTCCCAGTGCTTCTAGTAAGCAATTGCTGCTAGCCAGTTACACAAACAGCACATGGTTAAAGAGCAAAAATTGAAAAGGTAAAACATAATTTTATAATGTTCATTAGGCAGTCTTAGAATTCAGAAAAGTGATATGGGCCTAACTCAATCCTACAAAATTGGCTTGTAAGGTAAGAGTTGTCCCTCACTTATATACTCTTTAATTATCTTATTTCTAGTCGATGTGAGACTTGGATTTTTTCCAATATATCCCCTCACGTCTACCACTATTAGACTTGGTATGTAGATAAATGGTGGGTGACCCTTTTTAATGATCCAGAATAGATAGGACTTGGATTTTTTCCCAATACACCCCTCACGCCTAACATTATTGGGTTTGATGCGTGTATCAATGGTGGGCAACCCATTTAGTGTTGATCTAGATAGTTTTGATATCATCTTAAAAAAAGTGATTTAGGCCTACATGAGTTTCCTTGTTCAAAAACAACTAAAGTGCAAAGGATTACAACACTTTTGAGGAAGCATTAACTACATGAGTTTCCTTGTTCAAAATATTTTCCAGTATTTGGTTATGCTTCAAGAATAACATTCCCCAACACGAAGAAAATAATAAAATGGCAATTATCAATCTCACATTTGCAGTGCCCCTTGTTGACAAGTCATTTTATAATTTTTCTAACATTTCTTATACCGAAGACAATTATTCAAGTCCAAAAACTTCCAATAGAGCTGATGACAGCCAAAAATAAATATTGCATCTGTATTCTAACATGTATAATAATAACATCAAGCAAAGAATGGTGAAATTAAAATTAGTAGGCAAACTGATAGTTTATGCTCATTCTTACTGTTTCTAGCATTAGTGTTTTTTTAATTTAGAATTAGATAACTTATAAATGAGGCAAGCCTTGCCACAATGGTAAGGTTTTGCTGCCTTGAGAACTGGATATTATGGGTTCAAATTTTGGAAAGAACCTCTTGGTTTTCCAGTAAGGCTATCAAGCCCTCCTTCCTCCCAATCCCACAAGGTAGGACTCAGGAGCCTCGTGCACTATGTCCCTTTTTAGATAAAATTTTCTTCTACATTAATTCCTTCGGAATAACCAAACAATTGTCTTCCTTACACATTAAAAATATGTATCCAGACTCTTGGACAATGGACACACTTTATATAGTGATACTCTCTAGAATCTAGATGGATACCTAATCATAAACCCCTCTTCTATATATATATATATATATATATATATATAGATATATCCTTCAGTCCTTTCAAATAATAACTAAGGTTCTGGCAATTTCTTTAGCACCAAGAATCCACTTTTAGTCCAAATCATTTTACCTTAGTAATGACATACCAAGCACATTCAAGAGCAAGTTACACAATATGCTGTTTTTTTG